CAGCACTCAGGAGGCAGGAGGATCTCTGTGAGTTCAAGGCCAGCCTGTCTACATAGTGAGTTCCAGGCCAGCTGAGGCTACAGAGAGACCCTGTCTCAAAAAATTAATTAATTAATAATAAATTAAATAAATCCACCAAGAAACTTACCACCAGTCATCCATCATGTCCTGCAAGGGCCTTTGCTCTTTTTTTGTGTGTGTGTGTGTCTTTTTGAGACAGGGTCTTCCTGTAACACCACTTGGTCTGGAACTCACTATGTAGACCAGGCCGGGCTCACAAAGATCCGCTTGCCAATGCCTCCTGAGTACTGGGCCTTTGTCTTTAACTTAGTAAACTAAGAGTTGTTTATCAGAGCCTGGGTAGAGCTTTGAAGACTCAGTCCTGTTATTCTTCAGGCCGTGTCTTCCCAGGTGCATGGAAACTTGAGCAACTAGTATCAAAAAGTGTGTGGTTTTGTTGTTTGACTGTTGTTTGACTGACTCACAGAGCAGGGCTGTAAAAGTATTCTACCACCAAGCCAACATCCCCACCCCTTTTTTAAAAATTGAGGCAGAGTCTCACTAAGTTGCCCAGGCTGGCTGGCCTAGAATTGAGAACTTCTTGCCTCAGTTTCTGGAATAGCAGAGATATGCAATACCATTCTTAGCTTCAAAATGTGATTTTATTTGAATTTTTGCAATAATTTTATGGTTAATTCATATGCAAATTTTTGAAAGTAATTGTCATCCCTATTAATAAGTCTAGTTGCCACTTTGTATCTGAGTTCACTGAAAATAATGTGTAATTTCAGCATAGCTTTAAAAAATTATTTGAGGGCTAGAGAGATGGCTCCACAGGTAAAGATGCTTATCACCAACCCTGACAACCTGAGTTCAGTCTCTGAAACCAACATGGTAGAAGGAGAGAATTGACTTGGGGGGCGATTTTTGAGGGTCTCCCTGTAGCCCCAGCTGACCTGGAACTCCCTATGTAGACCAGGCTGTCCTCAAATTCACATCCACCTGCCTCTGACTTCTAAGTGCCGGGATTAAAGATATGTACCACCATACCCAGCGACTTTTTTTTTTTTTTGATTCATTTATTTTTATTTCATGTGTTGAGTATTTTGCCTGCATGAACGTAAGTGGAGGCCAGAAGAGTGTGTTAGATCCCTGAAACTGGAGTTAGGATGGTTCTTAGCCACCATGTGGGTATTGGGAACTGAATCCTGTCCACTGCAAGAATAGCCAGTGCTCTTAACCACTGAGCCATCCAGTCCCAGGAATTGCCTTTTTCAAGTTATCCTGTTCCTGTGACCTCTACGCAAGTTCCATGTTGCTTGTGTACACTCATGTACACACACACACACACACAATAAATACATGTAAAATTTTTCTTAATTAAATGAATGGATCTCAGCATGGTGGTGCACACCTGTAGTTCCAGCTACCTTGGAGGATGAAGCAGAGGATAGTGAGTTTAAATCCAGCATGGGTAACTTACCAAGACTCCCACTTCAAAAAGAAAAAGGAAAGGTGGGGAGGAGAGGAAGGAAAGAAAGAATGATACAAGTCCTATAAAAGGCCCAGCATGGGGCTGGAGAGATAGCTCAAGTGGTTAAGAACACTGGTTGTTCTTGCAGAAGACCCGGGTTCGAATCTCAGCACCCACATGGCAGCTAACAACTGTCCTAACTCCTGTTCCAGGGGATCCGACAGTGTCTTCTGTCCTCCTTGGCCATTGCACGACACAGGTGCGCTTACCTACACACAGGCAATACACACACATAAAATAAAAAATAATGAATGAAATATTTTTTTTAAAAAAAGGCCCAGCATGCTTTGGAGGCTGAGGCAGGAAGATCACAGTGAGTTGAAGGCCAACCTGGACCACATAGCAAGTACCAGCTACAAAGCAAGACTGTCTCTAATAAAAACAATGTGTATTGCACCCACACACAAAGCACCCATTCACATATCACACACATACATACATACACACCACACATACACATAATCCACCCACATGCACACCACACATGCATACACACTACACATATATACCACACACATACACATACATACATACCACACTCTATACACACACACACACACACACGTGTGCGGGAAAAAAGGAACAAATGTATTCTGAAAGGTACTTTTAGTGGGTTTTTTTAAAGATTTTTTGACTTATTTTTATTTTATGTGTATGAGCATTTTGCATGCATGTATCTAAGTGCATCCATGTCATGCAAAGCCCACGGAGGCCAAAAGAAGGCATTGGATCCCTTGGAACTGGAGTTACAAACAGTTGTTAGCCACCATGTGGATGCTGGGAACCAAAGCCAGGTCCTCTGCAAGACCAGCCAGCGCTCTCACCCCCTGAGCCATCTTGCCAGCCACATTTTCAGTGTCTTTTGAGGTATCTGAATTCATGAATCATACTTTTTTATTGTCATAGTTGTTACTACTACTACTACTACTACTACTACTACTACTACTACTACTACTGGGTTTTTTGAAACAGGGTCCTGCTTTGTAGCCCAAGCTGGCCTGAAACTCAATCCATGCTGGCCTTGAACTACCTCAGTCTCCTGAGTACTGGGCTTATAGGCATTGTCCTAGTTTGTTTCTTCATTGCTGTGACAAAACACTACCAGCTTGGGGAGGAAAGGGTTTATTCAGCTTTCATCTCCCAGGTTGTAGTTCATCAGGGACCCCAAGGTAGGAACTCAGGGCAGGAACCTGGAAGCAGGAGCTGGAGCACAGGCCATGGAGGAATGCTGCTTACTGGCTTGCTCCCTTGGCCCCTGTTCAGCCTGCTTTCTTATGCAACACAGGCCCACCTGCCCAGGGGTGGCACCACCAACAGTGGGCTAGGCCCTCCCACATCACTCATCAAGAAGATGCCCCTCAGACATGGCCACAGGCCAGTCCAATAGAGGCAATTCCCCGATTGAGGCTCCCTCAACCCAGGTATGTCAAGTTGACACGAAAGCTATCCAGCACAGGCATGAACTACCATGTATGGCTCCTGATATGGCATATTCTTCAGCCAATCAGAACTTATTTATTTTCCATCAAATATAGGTAGAGTCAGAATTTATATTTTCCTAGGCTTTATGGTTGAGTGAGGAAAACTTCAGGCATTGTTTAACAATGTGGTGACTCCCATGTTTCCACATGGAGACATCTGGGAAATAACTATTAAATAAATACAAAAATCACTACCCTAGTTTTGAAGCAAATATATATGTATTTTTTAAACAATCTTTTTTTAAAAAATTTATTATTGGTGGGGTACATGCCACAGCACACACATGTGGAGGTCAGGAAACATCTCGGTGGAGTTGGCTCTCTCCTTCCACCTTTATGTGGGTTTTGGCAGTGGAACTCAAGTCAACTGTCTTGATGGCAAGTACCTTGACCTGCTGAGCCATCTTGCTGACCTGCAAAGAACTACATTTCACCAATTAAAAACTTTTGGTTTGGGGTCTCCACATGTGTTGGTATTCTTCTTTGCTTGTGTATTAGCTCACATTCAGTGGACAAGTTGTGTCTATCGTGTTTTAAGTTTACAACTAATAATTAGGGAGTGATAAGACCAACTAGTTCCTAAAATCATGTTAGTAATAGAGTAGGATGAACAAAAATCCAATATAAATATAAAAAATATACAAAGGTGAGGGTTTGGGGATTTAGCTCAGTGGTAGAGCGCAAGGCCCTGGGTTTGGTCCTCAGCTCGGGGATCGGGGGAATAACAAAGGTAGGCCGGACGTGGTGGTGCACACCTTTAGTCCCAGCACTCAGAGACAGAGGCAAGCAGATCTCTGTGAGTTCAAGACCAGCCTGGTCTACATAGTGAGTTCCAGGCCATCTGGGGCTACAGAGAGACAGACCCTTCCCAAAAAGATTTAGCTGGATGTGGTGGCACACGCC